GTGGCAATGGCTGTTTCAACGAACAATGTTGAAAGAACGGCAGCTTAAAACGTCAGTTTCCTGGCCAGTGTAATCTGTCGTTTCCCATCCCCTCTGCCTGGACCTTGCAAACGGCGGCGATAACGGCGATGCCACCGTGACTGTTTAAACCACCATGGGTCCTCGAGATCGTGAAATTCAAACTGCGACTCTGGGGCGCATCTTCTGGAACACTCAAAATACTGGCTCCTCTACCTGAAATCTGTATCAAACCTGCACCAAATCTGGCGGTGTCAAGCGTGGTCGCTAGGAACAGGCCCCGTTGGGATGCGCTCCCTTTTCCAGCTCTGAAAACCGTCAAAAACAAGGCCTTTAGGCCCTAAAAAGCTACTTTAGCCTAAAGAAGCTATTTTTGGTGGTTTTGAGAGCTGAAAAGCCTGGCGCCTCCCTGCAAGGCCTCTTTGGGGCGACTGGGCTTGGCACCGCCATTGGAAACCAAGTTCTACATATACGTGCCCAAAGCTGGGGAAAAGCCATTTTCAAGTGCCAAATGTGTGCGCCCCATGAGGAGAACTTGAACTTCCGACTTGAAGTTCAAGTTCTGAAGTTGGCCGGCATCCCGGCCGGTATTTAAAGGGTGGGTGGTGGTTTAATAGGTGCATGCATGTATGATCGACTAAATGGAGCACCTGTGGCAGTGGCGACGCATAAGGGGTGAAGATGCACTCTTCGGTCGCTGCGATCTCTCCCACCTCATGGTCGTGCGGGGCGACCGTCAGAGCCGGTACCCGGTGAAAAGGTCGCCAGTGAAGATACCAACTTGGGCAATCCCTCGCATACCGCTGATGTTCGGCTCCCGTTCGGCTGCATGATCACGGATCTACAAGGAAACCGCAATCTTCTCATTGCCTAATTGGAAATCTATTCACAGCACATCAAGGGCATTTTCAGGGTGTACCCACATTGCGTTTTCAGCTTACAATTACAGGTGAAGGCACCGTAAATGGTGCAATGGCAACAACAGGCGCCCTAGGAAGATGGAGCTTGAAGGGCAAATTGGCTGTCTGCACAGGGGGAACCAGAGGCCTTGGGTGAGGCGCAAAGATTGGCTCTAATGGTCGTTAATATGCAAGTTTAGCTGGAATGTGATCTGTTGATTTCACAGCATTGTATAGCTGGACTTCGAATTGCATTTTGAGGGGTTTGCATGGTCCAATCTGCTCTATGGATGTAGTGCTTTCCGCATTACAATGGTTCGTTGGCTTTAGCAATAGATCATACAGTAGCCATGAACCCTTCGCTGGAAATCAAGCACATTGCTTGAGATGAGCAGCAGTGCCATGCTCTATGCTTATGGGTGTGTTTATCAGATCACGGTGCCAAACTGTTGCCAACCGAAGAAATACATGTTAGATGCAAAGCTACCTGGCTGATATGAACAGACGGTTTTTCGTGTCTGCCGCTTTCGTAGATCTGTATCGAGATGCTTCAGACATACTCAAGCCAGATGGCAATCCGTCCAATCTTTCGTTTGGCCAGGCTGGACCACTGATTGACAAGCAGTCTCAAGAAAGTCTTATGAATTGTCTAGCATTGTGTCAATAGGCTTGTGTGCTCTGTGCTCCCTGGTCTTGCCCTTATTCTACTCCACACATCAACACCCTCTGAATCGCATGAAGTGTCTGACAGAAGGGCGCTCCGCAGCCCCTGGTTAGGAGGAACCCTTTACCTTTGCTCTCTTTACACAGGCGTGCCATCGTTGAAGAGCTTGCATCGTTGGGGGCATCTGTCTACACGTGTGCTCGTTCGGAAGAAGATCTGAAGACTGCACTCACAGCATGGCAAGCTCAGGGTTTCGATGTCAGCGGAACACCCTGCGACGTCAGCACGTCCGAGGGCAGGAAGGAGCTATTGCAAGGTGTTGAGGCTGCGTTCAAGGGGAAGTTAGACATCCTAGTGAGTTACCTTCTGTGTGCAAGGGCTACTCTGAATTACAAGCTGCTTTGAGATCCTCTGATTAGGAGAATGTGTATGTGGGGACACTGTGTAATCATGACTTAAGAGAAAAGTAGCTATCGTTGGCACTGTGCGCTGGGTTAAGCTCTGGTGATCCCATCGGAGAAAGAGTTGCGCTGTTGGCAGGGATGTATCAGCTCGTTAGGTGCTGGAGCATCGGGCAACATGAAGACTGGGCAGGATACATCGGCTTTGCCCGCTTGCACAGATTTCATCGGGGATCCTAATTGGCTGGAGTATCGTTTCCTACTGGCGACCATCTCGACAGGTCACGCGAAGATCGTGAAAGCAAATGACTTCCTGAGTAAAGTGCTCTTTAGGTCATTATTGACCTAGTGGTCTCTGGTCCAGCGGTAAAGTTGTGCTACATTTCCTCGGGTCACAAAGACTGCGCTCAGGCTGCTCCTTTGCACTGAAGAGCTGGATTTAGATTACAAACTACGCCATCTCTGCGTTAGTGCAATCGATCAACGACGAAGTACCGAATTCAGCTGATCATTTGCTACTTTCTCCTAGATAGCTTGGTGTAGCCAAGGCTATCTGAAGACCTTATATCCTGAGCAATAGTAGCACAGACGTAAACGCAGAAACCTTCTATTCGCAGGTCAACAACGTAGGTACAAACATCCGAAACCCAACGGAAAAGTTCACGGAGGCGGACTACACGAAGATAATGTCGACGAACCTGGAGTCCGCATTCTTTATAACGCAGCAGGCATACCCTTTGCTCAAGGCTAGCGGGAACGCATCCGTTGTCATGGTCTCGTCGATTGCGGGGGTCGTCGCCATCCGAACGGGGAGCATATACGCCATGACGAAAGGTCGGCAGCTTCTCTTGCTTCCGCAAATCTTCTCGCACTTTATCGAATCAGAAGTTGCACGGGGTTTGGCCGACGAAAACATTCAGCTTGGTCGACGAGATTCAACAGCCTTGAGAACGCCTGCTAATGACTGGAGAGTGCTTGGCTATTTGCTTGGGCCGCTGACGGTACAGGACTGATGAGAATATTTCGATTACAATCAGTCTGTAATCGGTGGCCCTAGTCTATGATCTCGGAAAAGGATCTGGAATTGGGTCACTTTCGAGACAACTCTTCGTCAAACAAAGTCTTTGAAACACGCGGACCCTTTGTCCAGGTGCTATGAACCAGCTAACGCGGAGTCTGTCACAAGAATGGGCACGGGACGGGATCCGAGTCAACGCCGTTGCCCCTTGGTGAGGGGGACTGCCTTGTCAACGAGTCACTAGGTCCCGTCAGTCAGCAGCAGATTCGGCGGGCATTCGAAACCGTTTCGATCCTAGCGTTAAGAAACGAAGCTGCTGCTTGCAGGTGCACCTGAGACTGGCTGACGTTGTGAGAGTCTGCCTCTGCGTTTGGCGGCCAGCTCTAAATTGAGCAGATTTGGAGGTCCGAAGCTCCGGTTGTAATCTACGAGCATAACGCCGGCCTCCACTCTTTATCTTTTCTGCACGATCATGTCAGTTCCCTTCGCCAAACTCGATGAGTCGCGTGCTTGTTCGGCAATCCTCGCTGTGTCCATACTACGACTTGCAGAGATCGTCGGCCGGATCCAGCGCTCAAAATATTTGGTCAGCTGTTTTCACGACTCGTTCCTTGCTGATCTCTGGTCTTCGTGCTTCAGGTATTTTAACACGGAGCTTGCACAGCAGGTAGGAGCTCGACCCAAGCTTCGCTGAGAGCAACCCGTGCTGCCTCCACACTAACATGCCTGATTAGCGTTGTTGAACGTTGCATGCATCCACTGAGTCGAACTCGTTGATTTGCTCTGATTGCGATCTGCTTTCGCCAAGATCATGTTCGCGTCTCTGAGTTCGCTTGGACTACTAGCTCAGCCGACACCTCGTTACAGTACAGCCGCTTCATGCTAAGGCTCGCAAGCTACTGCGCGTGCAGGTATTGAAGGACGAAGAGTTCAAAGCACAGGTCGTCAAACGAACTCCGTTAGGTCGTGTTGGGGAACCAAGTGAGTTAGCTGGAACCGTGGCATTCTTATGCTTGCCCGGCTCTTCGTTCATCACAGGTCAGGTCATTTCAGTGGATGGGGGGTTCAGTGTAAATGGTTGTGATTGGGGAGGGTGGCCGAGAGATTGATTGACTCAGGCTCCAAGCTAGAGTTAGAAGCAAGACGAACCGTTAAAGAGGCCGGATCGGCTGAATACAGGCTACCAATTGATGCGTTGCGAAGGTAACTTAAATCAAGTCAATCTAGCGCGCAATACATTATCGAAGATGTAGGCAATACTCAGCAACATATCGTCAAGTATTACATAGTGCAAAGGGTCGTTTTGAAGGAGGCCAATATGTTGAGTAAAATTTGGTTGCTCGGATCCTAGTATTCAATTGGATGCATAAACCGTCCATAATTCATTCATTAACGTGAAGACAATTGGAAAAGCATGTCAAGACGAAATGCCTTCCACGTCAAATCGAGCGGCCAGCTGTGGGGGCCATCAAGTGATGTACGTACGCGCTAATACAAAGTAGTTGCCGCGGTGCATGCCCTGCAGATGTTAGTATTACCTGATAAGGTACAATCATGTAGGCCTGGTCGACCTCAAATTATCGCCCCATCATGTCTCCAAACTACTTTGCAGGACAACTTTGCAGCTAGTACCACGTCTGCCTCGATCAATTTATGCGCACACGGTAAATCGCATGTCGAGGATTGTTTTAGCTGACCTGCGACACGCAAAGCCTCGCGACCTCAGGCTACAAACAACATAATATACCAACATGATCAAACTGCATGCATGGCCGCATGCTTTTAATAGCAATTGGAGTGCCACGAACCATTGATCTGTTCAATCTGTTGTTGATCAAAAGTTTGGCCAACGAGTCACAAAACTACACCAAAGATAACGAAATTGCAGTATAGGTAGAAAGAGGCAAAAGGAACACTGGCAAAAGAGGTGGGTTCGTCACAAGGACTTCCCGGAAGGTCACCCATTCCAGTACTATTCTTGCCCACAGGCGTTTAGCTTCGGAGGTCTGATGGGATCCGGCGCAATAGCCTAGGTATGAACGAACCACGACACATGCCGGCAACCATAAATCTATATTCCACATTTTAAAACCCTGCACGTACTGTTTCTAGCTTCCATATGAAGGTCTGAGCTCTTGCCCAGCTGGACAAAGTTGGAAGGTTCAAAGTTTGAATACACAAGTTTACAAGGAATCCTTGAAGAAGCAGCTTGAGCGCATCAAAGCTGGCACTACCAACGTGGCATGTTGCACCATGTCGTCAGGGATGAATTTGCGCATTATCTTGGGCTCTGCATCACGGACCAGGCAAGCCATCTTGAAAGAGATGGGCTATGCGTTTGAGGTGGAGACAGCGGACATTGATGAGAAAGCCATACGGAAGAGCAACGCGCAGGAGCTGGTGATGGCTTTAGCTCATGCCAAGGCAAGCCCCTGGACAGCTCATCATAAAGACAGAATATCCTCAGAAAGGCCTATGGCAATGAGCATCGGTGCCCCATCGGTGTCAGATGGTGGCACAATGTCTGGCAGCTTTGAATCAGTGTAATGCACAGTGACTCTTCAGCTGCTTAGAACAGACTTTTGAGCGCTTGCGACAAACTGTTTCATCTCATTGGAAGCTGCTGTTATCGTTATTGGAAGTTTGCACTCACACAAAAGCGACCGCAGAAAGTGGATCCAGATGCACGACACCAGCAGTGTGTGTGTGCAATGATGAGTGTTCCAGTGCCGTTCATGGCAGTTCCAAATGCATGATCAATCATGTCTGATATTGAAGCCCGCTGAGGGGACACAATTGAGAGCAAGGTGGCAGTCAGGTGTGTCTCAATTACTGATTACCAGCTTTGCGTTGAATGATAGGGCCTGGGAGTCTGAGGAATATGTCTCTTCTTTACAGGCTGACGCCCTCCTTGCACGCTTGAAGGTCCCCCCGCCATCTGATGATGAGCAGGTTTTACTTATTACTGCAGACCAGGTGGGAGAGTTTAACTCTGGAATATCACTCTGTCAGGAAGAAGTCCCTTCATGTTTACCCCTTAGAGACCTCCCTCTTTCTCTCCCTTGAATGTCGTTGACAATAAGGAGAAGATTGAAGTTTCAGTGCTGTTTGATGTCTTTGGGAAGTTCTTCATGAGCGTGTCAACTGTTTCATATTTTATTTGGTTGATGTTTTCTTTGATTGTGTCTCAATGTCGATATCTTGTAATCAAGATCACCCATTTGGCCTTGGCATTGCAATGAATGTTGTCCGCATGTTGCTTGAACTTTTTTCAAAAGTTGGCACTAGCTGTTTCTGCCGTTCAAGTTGCATTCGGGAGTTGCAGACCTCCGATGTCTTACATTTCGATGGATGTGTTGTCGTGCAGGTTGTAGTTCATGAGGGACAAATCCGAGAAAAGCCGGAAAGTGCTGAGGAGGCGAGGCTTTTCATTGAAGGTTAAGTGCGTTTCATCACCCGCAGTGACAGGTGACTGGTTCATTGATTGCTGGTGCTCTGTAGTCAACTGTGGGTCTAGATAAAAAGAATGTTCAGATTGCACTTGTCGTAGGACTTACTAAAGACAAATGCGCGTCTGCGCTGTCCTCCTGGATCTCGGTCTTTGTCGAAACAGATTGTTGTCAGTCGTTGCCAAATCTGTGAAAGCTGGCGTTGCAGCAGATGTGGAATAGTCGACCAATTTTGGAGCGTCCTGCGTATGGTACTGGTGCGACGTACGACAAGTACAGTCGATCGACAGTTGTCACTGAATCGATTCACCATCGCAGCGGTGAACTTGATGCGCCGGAGTATGACAGAGATTAAAAGTGGGTCAATCAAATTCTCCACGCTTTTGGGGTAATCAATACCCTTCATGAGTGAGCTAGCTTTGTGGCGCTTGACTTTTGATTAAAAGCTGCAGGAAAGGACAATCAAACAGTTCGTTTTTGGGGGTCCGAAACGACTTCCCACTCGTCAGTGTGTCGACGAGGGCAGTTGTTGGATCTGGAATCTGTTATCAGCTGACTCTTGAGGATATTTTCTGTGGTTGAATCCTTCCATGCTGTTCACCTGCATCAAAATTCCTGGGCCGTCGAATCTTTGAACTGCTGTGACAAGGCACCCCAACTGTGAACGGGGAACTTGGTCTTACACAAAGAATGTCGATAGGCCTTGGTTGTTCTCAAACGGATGATCGACAGCGTCAGTTACTGAGGGTTTTGACCTGCCAAAACGAACTTATATATCTCTTCGCTCCCTTGCGCCTCTCAAAGAGTTACTTTCTTTGACCTGTATCTACCAGTTATTTGATACCCCACTCGAACACGTGTCACCATCTCACAGGCTACGGCCGCTCGCCCGCGAGCACGGTTGGGTCAGTTCTCGTCACCAATTTGCGCACGCAGAAGCGATACGGCGGATTCGACTCCACTGAGGTACAAAATGGCGTGCTCTTTCTGTGCGTAGCTTGCGCTCTCATGAACGCTCCATCATGCATTGTCTGGCGCAAAGTCCTGTAACGCAAGAGCTGAAGCACCTTGTGAATAAGGGCCAACGTTCTGGTGGCTTACATCTGCGATTCTTAACTTTTGCACCGGGCGTCCTTTTCCACGGAAATCAATCTCATGAATACCTTCGTTTTTAATGAAAGCAACGGATCTGACACCATTCTTCCGTCGCTGCAGATCTACTTCCACAAAATACCGCAGGAGGTCGTAGAAAGTCTGGTAAGTGTGGCTTCGCGAAATCCTCACTAAGAAGCAAGTTGTTTTCCTGGATAAGCAGGGTCAAGAGAATCATCCCTGTCGGTTCAAAAAGTCGTTGCCCGACGAAGCATTTTAAGGAAACGCCTTCACCCACCAGTGTTTGTCCGGAGGGTGGCCATTGTGGGCCGTTTTGGAGCCGTTGGATGGACAATAGTCTTCCTGTCGGGAGCTTCAGAGTCGGATGCTGTGCGCGCCTCTGCTTCTATCGAAGTGTCGACAACCTTTCTCATCCCGATAGAATTTTGCAAACGTTGAAGTGCTCGAATCCAAGCAATTCACCAATCTCACGAGGATCAGGTTCCCTGAAGCAAGATCATAAAGATCGCGAAAAGGCGAAGATTGTTTGAGCACTTTTGGTGCCATGGTCATAGGCTGACTCCGCATCTCTCCGGTTTCAGATCAAGGAGGGCTCGGTCTACTATGCGGCTGGTGGTTTGATGATTGAAAACCCGCTCGTATCGCCCCTCGTCGAATCAGTGGTGAGTTGTCGTGTCCTTTCCTCAGCGGAAGATGATCATGCAAAACATTGTCGTGTTCTGCCACGTGTCACGGGTGTGATTGCGGAGAATTTGTGAGTAGAGATGGATTCTGCGCGTGCGTTGATAGATTTCTGACGATGTGCGCATAGTTTCTGTCTGCAGACTTTTCGAGTGTAACGTTTTAAGCTGATTCGGGAGTCCACTTGGACGGACGTACTCGTGCATCCCTAATTTTAAGATGGTCGGTAAGATCACGAGTGCTTTGTGACGGTGAGCCTCATCGATACGTACGCTCCCAATGCTATGCAGGTTGGGACCATTGATAGTGTCATGGGCCTGCCAAAGGCCCTAACAAGAAGACTGATAGAGGAAGCGCTGGAGGGCAGCTGAGACCTAAGCGTTACTTCCAACTGAGTCTTGAGTTATGGAGCAACCTTCTGAGTTTGTATCTGACGCTGATCTCCCGGCATAGAGACCTTTGCCAGATCTGTGAGTTGTGGCCCGCGAGTTGTCCCCTGTCAGGAGAAGAGGTGGACTCATGCACGAGTTAGATCACTTTCACGTAAGTCGGGCCATTTTGTCCGACAGTCCGTGACAAGGACATATTTGATGATACATCCAAATTCTGCAGGACTTTCTAGATCCGAACCGAATCTGCGGCCACTGTGGCGCATCATTTAGTCACACGTCCGCTCAACCTTGACGTCCGACATCGTTACAGGCTATGATCGGATTAAGCGTGCATTTAGTGAACAGCGGCACTTGAACACGTTGGTGATCTAGTACCAACGTGTACATGTGCCAATCTTAAATTATAAAATTAGTGTCATTCTGCATGCATAAGCCAAGCAGCACTAATTGCGCAGCTAGATTATGATCATGCCGGCCTGTGTCCGAACCTACCTAGGCGGGTACGTTAAGTGCTCACGCGAAGACGGTGCATGCAGCAGCCGGCTATCAAAGACTACCACAAGCCATGTTGTACATCATCGATGCCATGCATGCATATAATGATCGATCATGAGGTCATTCACCGGAGTGCGGTCCATATATTAGTACAGTACTGTCTTACCGTAGAACGCGCCATGCATCATCGAGCTTCGAAATCGCGAGGTTGTTGAATCTGATTTCAGCAGTGACCAGCTTAACCAGCTTAACCATGGATCAAGTCGCACTCAGAAGATGACGCGAACCGCAGGGAATCGCCACGCCAGCACAAGCAGAAGCTGCCCGGCCAGTGTGCTACACGGTGCCACGTACCTTTGTGTATGATCTTTGACCAAGCCCGCAGATGGAGGATCATGGACTACACTGACTTTCCGGTGCAACCTCAGGTTGGAACCGTTTTGAAAGTAATAGCGGTTTTGACGGATTACATAAAATCATCATCGTCTGGATCCCCGTCCACAATGGACGGCAAAGGACCTTCGGAGTCGCTGTCAGCGTCCCCTCCTTTTCTTGGCATGAGACCAAAAACGTTCCGCGCAGCTTCAGCCGCACTCTCGCGCTCTGCGTTACTTTTCGAATCGGGCTCATCTTCCAACTTTCCCTTTTCCTTTGCGGCCAGCACCGCCAGGTCTCCCGGTCTCAAGTAGTTTGGAGCTTCTTTCGCCCCTGGCTCAACCCTTGGTTCCGCATCCCCGCCCATACGCACTTCCTTTTCGACAGCCTCTTCCTCTCGCAACCGTTTCGTTCCAGAAGCACCGATGCCAGCATCATTACCACCTTTCTCTAGATATTTTCCTCCGCCCTCGTTCGGAGCCACGTGCTTCATCCCGTCCACTGACGTCGTCCCCGCCTCAGCGCCCCCATTGTCCAAACCCTTGGAACCCGAACCCTTGCCTGCCACTGGAGTACTGACGTCAGCGTGCTCCCGTGCCTCCGACATGGTGACGTCAGCAGAACGGCCGGTCTGCTCTGCGATGGCCGCCTCGCCGCGCCCCCGGTTCTCTAGAGCCGCAGCACCGGTGTCTCGGGTAGCTCCATCGGACTCTAACCTGCTTCGCTTGTGGTGTGAAACGGCCCCCGTCTCAAGGTCCCCCTCCCGCTGCGGCACTGACGGTTCTCGCCCCTCGGGAGCCTTTTCACACTCCTCCGGGGCCGTCTCCTGTTCCTCTGGGGCCGATTCACACTGCTCCAGCCCGTGCCGGAACCCCGCACCGTAACCCAGCCACGCCTCCGCCTCCTGCCACGGGTCGTTACTGAACGCGTTCCGGGGGGCTGCGTCGGCAGCGGGCAGGACCCCCCCAGAACGAGACCCGCCAGGCAGTTTGAGGACCGGCAAGGAACGAGGATGTAGAAAGGGTTCCAGGACGAGCAGTGCGTGCGTGCTGAACGCGCCGACCGGGGTACCAATTTCCGAACGGCCTGCAGGACGGAGAGCGGTGTGGTCAGCAGACGAGACGGTCGTATGCACGTCGGCTTCAAGAGTGACAATAGGAGTCTCACACGCCATTGATCGAGCAAAAGGACTTCAATATGCAAGGGCCTCTCTAGAATAAATCTGACCGAACGCTCTCCAAAAGAAGCTCAACCGGAGGGCCATGACTTTCCCTTCTCGCTTCGCCGACATGACAGCAAGAGTTCCAAACTCTTTCTTGCTCTTTCGGTTCCCTTCGTCCAATCCCTCCCTTTGCTTAAAACGAACGGCATCTTCTGAGCGGGATCATGCTCACATCTTCGGAAGATCGCGAGCGCTTGCGGCAAGTACGGCGGCCGGTGGCTCCCGGGTGACGTCACAGAGGCTAGCAGAGCCCTGCACGCTGCGAGGCGGAGCGCCCCGGACCCTGCCCGGGGGATCCCCCCTGCCGCGAGGTGTGCCACGTGGAAGATTGCGGCGTCGAGCTCAGTCCGCCACTTCTCGGGAATCAAGGGCCCGCCCTGAAAAGATATATGGAGCAAGTAACATGAGCAAGGCTGCCAACAGGGAAGCTTAGACCGCAACAAGACTGGTTTGCACTGTTGAATCTCTGTAGACATCATTAGACTCGATTAGGATCTCGTTGTGGGTCTAACCGAGCCACATTAGGGGCATGACGAATAGAGAATACCCACTGCTGAAGTACAAAGTTTGACCGGTTCCCTTTACAGACCTAAAGAGATCTTCGCCAGAAAATTGACCAGTTCAGTCTCTTAAGAGAAAGCACCGGGCCCGTTCTCACCACAGCGAGCAGCTTCTCGATTGCCCGGAGGGATCCCCCCGCCACTTCGAACGCCTCTTCCGCTCCCACTTCCGCGGACACAGGCCCCCCGGTAGAGCCATCCCGACCGCCTTTCCTTCTTTTCCCCCCCTTCCGGCCGCCAGTCGAACCACCCCCCTGGGGCTGGAGAATATCGGACAGATGTAGCGCGCCGGCGTCCGGTGTCCGGGGCTGAGTGAGGAACCGGTGGGCATGGCGGAGGTCGGAGAGGGCATGGGGAACTAGAGTCGGGGCTAGAACGAGAGAGACGCCTGCAAACGGAGGTGTTCCAATCAGGGTCCAGCTTGAGAACCACACTGATGGGTTCTGAGGTTGAAAGGTCAGCAAGTTCATTTAATCGCTTCAGCCGAAAACGAGGAAATGAAATATTAAGCTCTCGAGAATCCAACTCCCATTTTATGAAACGTACAAACGATTGACTAAACCCTCAAACCTCAGAAGACGATCCCTACACCCAAACGTTGACCTCATTGACGCAAGTGCATTCTTCAGCCACCTCAAAGGAACATTTTATAACTTACCTGCGCCCAAGCACGCCAGCGTCTCTTCCGCCGCCCTATATGCTTGGACTCTGAGCACTGACATTCCAGCAACTTCTCCTGACGTCCGCCTCAGAACGTCACCCACGAAACCCGCTAATTGCTCCCCGTGCGGCAGTAAATGCGTCCCAGCCCCTGCTAAAAGCGCAACCGCCAAATCCAGCGCGAGTTTTTGCAGGTTTGGCAGCTCCGCCAGAAGTGCTGCTTGCCGGTCCCCGCTCAGAGCGTCATAAGCGCCCGCACCGAATAAGGTGCCAACGACGTTCAATAAGCGGGCGACGAGGGCTAAGATTGGAGCGACGGGTATGGGGACGGAGACCGGATAAGCTGACGTCAGCATTGCTCGCGTCGCTGTCAGGATTGACGTAATCACCGGGACGGTGGGCGGCCATAAGTGGCTGGTGGGCATGTTGGATAAGGACCAGTCAAAGCGTCCGAGAGGGGGGGGAGGGGGGGATCCCTGGGGAAGGAGAAGCGAGGCGGCCGTTTCAAACGAGGCGGGGCTTTCCAACCCAGACAGCGTTGGCACAAGCAGCGTGTTGAGGGCAATGAGCAGCCGGTGAATCAGGGCGCTCCAGGTGGCGGCGTCTCCGGCCGCCACAGGGAGGAGCGCCAGGGCTGTGGCAGCGCGGGTGACTTGCGGGGGCGCGTTGGGTAGCGTGATGTCGGAAGGGCCTCTGAGCAGGAGATTGATGACAGCTGTCTCGACGGCTTCGGAGTGGTGCCGGAAGGGGGAGGGGAAGCTTTGCAGGGAGACGATGAGCAGGTCGAGCGACTCGGCGGCAGCGTCTTGAGACGGGGACGAGCCTAATGCCTGCAGTGAAGTTTCAAGATCAGAAAGCTACTTAATGTTGGCGTCTACAACCTCTCAGCTGCCACCTTTGCTCGTTCCGTCTTTAAGAAGCAAAATTGCCTGGGAAAACAGTGTGGTGAACATCAACCTGTAGAAGTATGTGTTGAGAGTCCCCACATGCGTGTTGGCGGCTTGTTGTGGCCTCATCATCGACAAAATGCACTAGGGAGGTTCAGAGACTGCGACCACCCTCCCATCGAGACCGTTACCAGGATCACTAATCCAAAGAATGTGCACCAAAGCAGTCCCGTTTGTGGGACGCCCCAACTCAGAGGGCGCGAGGGTGACACTGGGCACACACCCTGTGAGCACATAGGTTATTCCATAGATCTGTGCCACACACTCAAACATTCAAAGAGGCCCAGAACATATAACATTCTGGGAGTAAGCGGCCATAAAGATTCCTACCCCAATCAACGGCTGCACAATTTTAGCCACCACCCCGGCGCCCTCGCGCCTCACGCCCGGCATGTCCGCCAGCTGTCCCAACCTGCCCACCAAATCGCTCAAAGCCGCTTGCACTGCCCCCACCACTTCCGCTCCCTCCGCTTCCTTCCACATTGCGACGAGCTTCCCAGCTAGTCCCTGATACAGCGCCAGAAACCGCTCTGCGCCAATCTCCTTGCAGGTGAGACCCGCGAGGCACGCGGCCGCCCATCTCGCGCCACCTGGCGCCCCCAGATTGACCGAGAGCCGGTCGACCCATTGGTCCACTGCTCGCTGGTGCTGCTTCTGGGCAGTTTCGGTGGTCCCATTGTCAGTTTCTCGCAGCAGCTGGTGGGCTTCAATTGTGGACGCGGCTTGCAGCACAATTTGAGGAGAAGCGGCGTCGACGGGGGCGGCGCCGACTTGGTGGGGAGGGAACAGCGTGGCAAGGATGCCCCTCAGAAGGAGGGCTTTCAGGTCTGTGCCCCCTTGGGCCGGGCCCCCCTGACCGGCACCGTTTAGGAAGAGGGCAGCGCTCGACATTATTGCTTTGCTGCCCTAAAGAGAGGATACCGTTTCGCGCATTTTGAAAAGGAGCTGGCACATTATGGCTCCCTTGCGACAACAACCCTCCGTCTTTCGTGAGCGTAAGACTCGGAGTGTCCTTCAACGTCGGAATGTCCTTGAACCCGGAGAAGCACGTCCCGTACCTTTTGCGGAAGGACGCCGGTCCCGGACGGTCGAAGCGAGCAAATTGACACAGGATCTCTGCTCCGGAGCAACTGGCCCCTTGAAGCGTTTCGAGTGTCAGGGTTAGAAGCGCCCTGCACGGCCGTGATTCTTGACGTCTTTGTTGGCTTCAGCCTTTCAGCTCTTCGGATACCTTTGATTGGAAAAAGCCCCCTTCAGCCTTTCAGCTCTTCGGATACCTTTGATTGGAAAAAGCCCCAAAATTTGTTCTGACCATCCTCTTCGGAGTCTATAGTGCACTCAGCTGCTCTACATTCAATGTCGTAGGCCAGAGGAGCTGGCAGCTCAAGCTTGGGTCCAAAGCCGCAGCTTTGGTGAAGGTTGCAGGGTTCAGTCGCCAGCCAATCTGATCAATCCATATTTGGAGTTGATAGGATGCGGTCGCCAGGTTGTGCTAGACAGTGCGTGCAATGACGTCAGCGAGCTGCGGGACGGCAGCGCATTTTGGGGCCAGCTGGCGGCAGCATACATCTGTTTGTCATGATGGTGGAACGGCAACTCTGCAGAGCAGCCAGAGAAAGTGAGTGCGCGCACATGAATTGCATTGGGCAGCAATCTATGTGGCATCCCTTTCTTGGATTGTGCGTCATCTGCGCGACCACCCGTCCCATCAAGAAAAGTGTGCAACAAGTCAAGAAGTCACTGGTGCTGCATATGTGGCACTGGGGCGGGGCCAAATAGTGCAATGCTGTTTTCTTATCAGAAAAGCCATTGAGAGCTGAGCGCCTTTACATTTTGCCAGCTTAGAGGCCATCCAAGCTGCGAGCTCTAAGAGTATCTGCTGGCGGACAGTGTCACTAAACCCTTTCTTTGTCCTAGTGTTGGTAATGGTGTCCTGCGAGAGAGTTGATGTGCCGCCCAGGCGTCGTGTCTAGTAGGGAAAAAGTGGTGGCACAGTGGTCATCATTTGCCACCACTTTCGTTTTCAAAGAAGGAAGTGGTGGCCGGCAATATGTGGTGTAATGCTGATTGGGCGCCCATTCTCTGCATTACAAGCAACAAAATCAACAAAAATGCTCGTCGTGTATTCGCAGTCAGGGCGCCACGATATTGTCTCTGTCCAAGTGATCAGGACGAATTGGACTGCTGCCAGCTGTCAGAGCTTACGTCCACATGGTGGGCAGACATAGGCAGCGGCTTTGACGATTCAACTGTCCTTCTTTTGCAGGTGCGACTTTGATGAGGCATGGTGTGGCCAACTGCGTCAGTTTCGCAGACCCTCTCTCTCATCATCTCACTGTGGATTTCTTGGAGCCCCAAACAAGAACCGCTTGATAGCCCCACTTGAATGTAGTCACACGGCTGCCTTTCAAAAGCAGGCACTGTGTGCGAGCCCAAACGCTCTGGAAAAGCCGCCAAGCTGGTTTAAAGCAATCATAGGCTATGAGGGGGCAAGAGGTTATGGGCTCTTGCGACCTACTCAGGAGAGTCTCGCTAGAAGAAGAGCATTTCCGGGGACAAGTAATCTGGGCTGCCCGCCTTTCAAAAGGCGCCCACCTTGCGTGCCGCCAGCTGGCAGGGCAGTGAATGCAACGAATGATGGAGGCGAGGGTGTTCACAACGAACTGGAAGAAACAATTGAGCCGAGCGGTTCGGAAGAGAATGCGGGTGGGGCTGAGGAGCAAGCGCCTGGGGAAAGACCAACCGGAGCGCCTGAAGACGGGGAAGCTGGGTCGGTTGGGACGTCTGGAAGAGGGGAAACTGGGCAGTCGAGGAAAAAGGGGAGGGGCAGGCGAATACGTGCCGGAGGGGGTGTAAGCGAAGACGAGGCTTCAGACGAGGATGAGAGCATTGAGGGGGGGGCGTTCGGCAGGCGCCCCGGCCCCCGTCCCGAGAAGAAAAAGTCGTCTGGCTATCGGAACGGTCTTGCAAACGTGCGGACGGCGTCAACAAAGAGCAAACAAAAGAAAACGCCGTCTTTGTTCCAAGTGGAGGAAGAGTTGTCTCGGGGGCGGGGTAGGGGGTCCCGGGGGGGGGATCTGCAGCCAAGAACTCCCCCCCCGCGGAGGACTCTGCCCCCGCAAGAGAGTTTTCCGACCCAAGAGACGTGGTGGACTCGAAGAAGTGGGTCGACGAAACGCAGGATTGGCCGGTTCCAGAGGCGACACGCGAGCGGGCAGAAAAGGATAAGCAACTGCGAGCGGCAGTCGAAAAGATTCTGTTGTACTGGGGGACAGGAGAGAATAGGGAGCGGGGCATGACGGAGGAACTGATGGATTTTATGGTTGAGCTATTAGACAAGTACAATGCGTACGTGCACTGCGATTACGAGGCGCCGTGGGGGGCGGCGATCGAGCGGTTCATCGAGGCGATCAATGACATGGAGGGGATCGATCAGCACCTGGACGATTTCATCGAAGAGGTGGGTCTCTTTAAAGTGAATGAGTTTCTTGGGCGGATCGCAGATGGCGATGCTCGACCTTGCAATGCTACCGTTCTCAATCGTCTCGATATGATAAGGATTCAGTCTTAGCCTGGGGGTCGCAAGCTTTGGCGGGCCAACTTCTTCCCCTTTGGTTTACACAAGCTTTGAGAAGCCAGCACAAATGAGACATCTAGAGCGTCCCTTTTTTAATTTCAATCTGGATGGCAGCGCTGCGATTCTCAGTCGTCCCGTACCATCTCTCGATCCTTTGGTCCGCCTGATCTATCCTGCACTCGTCGCAGATGAGTGTGAAATCTTTCTTCAGACGAGCCACCAATCCAACCAAAGAGCTGTACGTGCCAACAATCACGGCGTGGGCGGATCTTATTGCACTTGGAACTATCAGTGGTGTGGACGTGGGGTCAGAAGCTCCAGCGTCCTGAACTTTAAAAACAGCTTCAATTTAATCCGCCAGGTGTATGCGTTTGACATGGCCGCGCTGCGGAAGGCGCGGCAAGCGCAGTGGGCGGAGGACGTCGAGCGGGCCCGCAAGGAGGGGCGGCTCGAGGAGCTTGACGTGGCGCCGAGGGATCAGGTGAGGGGGTTGGTTAACCACAAGCGCCCGCGCAGGTTAGGCGTAGTCTTTAGCTCCAGCGCATGGTAACTAGGTATAGAAATCCCTCCTGCCCGGGGTAGCTACCCCGGGCTACCCCATGCGGGGGGATTTCCGCAGGCGGGGCGGTTGGGATCACAGGAGCCCTGCCAAGGAGTCGCGTACGGGGGCAGATCTGGGAGGTTGGCGCTCAAAGTCCCGGAATCAGGAGGTTCTACCGCTTGAAGCTCCACATTGCGTGTACCTTGAATTGTTCGACGTTTTGAGGCTTTTCAGTTTCGAAGATTGCGCCGGCGACACATAGTCGGGGGGGTAGCAGGCTGATCAAACGCCACATGTGCCCTTGACGATCCGCAAAATCTGGTGTACCCTTAATGCCCGGCAGTCCGCTCAAGATTGGTTTGAAACGCTTGGTACCAACGTCCGCTCCACGCCCAGTGGCATTTCCCTTGAAGCTGTAGCAACCTTGCCTAAGCTTGCGACCCCCAGGGATATCCGCAATATCCGCAATATCCGAGATTGCCGCGAAGCCTGTCAGGAAATTGCCGATCTGTCCTGAGAGCACGTCTTCTTTTTCTCGGCCGTCGGGGGATGCCGACCCTACCTCTGACCACGAGCTTCGGCCACACGCTACCAACCCTGACTCTAAACTTGTTCCTTAGTATATACCTTACTCTCGCGGAAGATTTGGTTCTCAACACCACCAGCTTCAAGCAAACCCTTTCTCAAACGTAACTCTAAACCTGACCCCAATCAAAATCATTTTCCTCTTTTCAAAGTCCGCACAGGATGCCAACCCTGCCTCCGCCCGCCCTCAGTGGGAGGCGCGGCTCTTCAATTCCTTGCGGAAAACCCGATTCTCGATACCACCACCTCTGGGCAAACCCTAACTCTAACCTTAACCCCAATGTTAACCCTGTCTCTCTCTTCACAGTACGCGGAGGATGCCGACCCTTCCTCCGACCGCCCCCAGTGGGAGGCTGAGGCGCTGCAGTTTCTCACGGAGAAACCGGTTCCCGACATTACCAGCTCCTGGCGAACCCTACCTCTTAACCCACCTCTAACCCTACCTCTGACTATAGTCTGACCCGAATTCCTCTTTTCACAGTCTGCGGAGAATGCCGACCCTTCCTCCGACCGCCCCCAGTGGGAGGCCGAGGCGCTGCAGTTTCTCGCGGAGAACCCGGTTCCTGACATCACCGATCCCGAGTGGCCCAAGTACCGGGCGTGGGTCGATGTGCAATGGGTGGAGTCGTTCGAGCTGCTGATGCAGATCTGGCGCGAGCTCGACACGGACGCGTGGGAGTGGGCGCGCGCGGAGGCCGCTGCGCGGGGGGTCATACGCTATGTGTCGGACGTGTATCAGCTGCCGCTGCCCAACGCGCTGCTCCCGCTCGAGCGGATGGCGGACGCGTATGAAAGGCGGGATTTTGAGGCGCTCGCGGTGAGGACATTTTCCAGTCCCATGCTGCAAGTTTTCGTCTCTGGTTTCTACCCCTTGTTCTGGGAGGATTTTCATGGTCTTCTTTTTAGGTCTTCCGCTCCAGGATATTGGCCTTGGTGTTGACGGTTTTACTGGTGAACTTTCGGTTTGTGGGCAGATCGTATGGAGTAGCGATCGTCGGGTATATCGTTTGTTTGGAAGGCTCCAGGCGTTGCTGAGACCGGGAGTGGTGGCTTTTGGGGCGCGCACTCTCTAGCCTTCGCTGCTGACACGTGTCGCATCTTTATCGGTGCGCTGAAACGGGGCCCCGGCTTTGCCGCATCCGCGTCCCCCTGATGGCACGTGGCAGAATTTTGTACCGAGCTGACACGTGTCCTCTTTCTGTCTCCCCTCACCAGCGTGCAAACGACGATTTGCTGAATATTCCACGGTACGACGAATACGAAGAAGAGGCCGAGGCATTCCTTGGTGCCGTGGGGGGGTTGCACAGCTA